ATAGGGTGAGCTTAGAAAACAATGTTATGTCAAAACCACAAAGCTATGGCAGGACCCTGGTAAAGCAGGAGATGCCCAGTTAGATGCCAACACGTTAAAGTGGTAAATTAACTCCTTTCTCTGAGAAAGGACTTGAACCATGCTATGCCATGAAGTTATGACAGCAGCAGCAAAACTTCTGTGTTCAGAGAAGATAATACAGATGCCTTTACCTACAAAAGATCTGTAGCTCTGTTCCTGGTGTAACTCTTCAGAAACGCCTGAGCTTAGCAGAGTTCTGTGAGAACAGGGATAGGCAGCTCCAGTGGGCACCTCTGAGCAGCAACCCAAGTTTTCTCCTAGACGGTATATGGAGTTCTGAATTCTGTTCCATGAAAAACAAGTGTCTCAAATTGAAATCTTGTTAATGCCTACTCAGCTCAATCCTTAATTGAGCTTAATTGATCTGGCCCTACTAGGCTGAACTCCAACAAGGACATTTTAAACAAATGTTGCAATCTTTTATTTGCATTGAAAAATTCTGTCTGTGCTTTACAGTCATAGAATGACTTGGGTTGGAAGGGACCTTAAAGATTATCCAGTTCCAACCCCTCTGCCATGGGCAGGGAGGCCAACCACTAGACCAGATTGCACAAAGCCCCATCTGACCTTGGATGAGAGGTTGTTAGGAGAGTATTTCTGAGGAGTTCTCAAAAGTACCTGCCCTGCCTCAGAACCTGATTTCCACAAAATAAACGAAAGTGTGCAATTTGACCTTAGCTCTAGCCCAGTCCACGTATCAGAATCTCAGGTTTCCAACTGACAGATTAAAATCTATTAATTAGCTAAAAAAAGCCCCCAGTAACTCTCAGCAACACAAGAACACAAAAAAAAACGGACATACAAAATGTTATGCAACAGCCAAAGCAGAGCAATAAAACTCAAACCACCTGTGCAAAACTGGTAAGTTTTCAGCAAAGGCTGGAGAAAAAGATTCCACCCAGGCAGTAAAAACAGATTCACTGTAAAAAAAACTTCCAAAAAGGCAATCACACTATTGTTTGTCCCATGGGAGGTCTTCCACAAAACAACAGGAACAGTTAATGCAAGCCTTTGAGAACAGTAGTCCAAGTTTCTGCATAGATCAGTGATTTATGTGTACTCTTATAATCATAAATAAAATCTAAATCCTATAAAGGCAACTGACTTGGAAAACTCATTCAACTGCCTGCACAAACTTACAGCCATATCTTCAGACCCATGGAAATACCTGACATTGTCTCTTTGTCTATAGCCTTCTCATTACCTGGGCACATGGAAAAGAACTAAAAGATCTGCACTTCACTGCTGTTTATACTTCTGAGGAGCAAAAAGCTACAGATAACTAGTTATAAAATAACAGCAATGGCACATCTTGTAGCCATATTAGAAAAACAATCAAGGACTATCTGGAGATATGATCTAGCAGGACAACATTCTGCTGGCTGGCAGACCTAGGGAAAGAAACTCATCAGAATAAGGCAGGTGTTTAATTCATTAAACTGAACTGGGAACTCAATAGGCTAATTAGAACTTGAGGGTTTTAGCCTCAGCACAGTCTTCTGCTAAAAGCTGCAAATCTACCAAATGATCCAAACAGAAGAAGACATACCTCAGAAAACGAGTTTTATGGGAAGATTATATCAGTGATAAAATAGAAGAAAAATAGCAGTCAGCAGTTCATCAGATACAGACCAAGAGAGGCAGCAGAGCTCAAAGGACTCTGTGCTTCTCTGGGAAACTCACTGGCTGCACAGAGGTCTTGGTCACATTTACACAAGCTACAGTTACAGCCCAAATAAACAGTAGTTTAAGACAATAATGGTCTATCTATACTCTAGTAATAGTCAGAGCAGATAAACACATGTTCAGTTCTTCTTTCTCAAGTTGATAGCAAAAGAACAACTGTACTGCAGCCATGTGCTAGACCTCTGCCTCAGTACTGCATGATTTTAGCACCACATTATATAACCACCATCTTTCCACGTGGTTTTGGAATATTTAACTTATAAAAGCATTGCATTTTGGGGGACAGACTACTATACCTATGAAAAACTGATTCAAACTACAGTAATGGACTAGAAATTCCAAACAAAAGGCGAGACTCAGTAGCTGTTTAGTGCTCCAAGTTTTAAGAGCTGATGGCTCAATCCAATAGAGCACAACTTTGGCCACAACAACCCCCTGCAGCGCTACAGGCTGGGCACAGAGTGGCTGGAGAGCAGCCAGGCAGAAAGGGATCTGGGGATGCTGATTGACAGGAGGCTGAACATGAGCCAGCAGTGTGCCCAGGTGGCCAAGAAGGCCAATGGCATCCTGGCTTGGATCAGGAAGAGTGTGGCCAGCAGGATGAGGGGAGTGATCCTTCCCCTGTACTCAGCGCTGGTGAGGCCACACCTGGAGTGCTGTGTCCAGTTCTGGGCCCCTCAGCTCAGGAAGGATATTGAGGTGCTGGAGCAGGTCCAGAGAAGAGCAACCAGGCTGGTGAAGGGACTTGAGCACAAGTCCTATGAGGAGAGGCTGAGGGAGCTGGGGTTGTTTGGTCTGGAGAAGAGGAGGCTCAGGGGTGGCCTCATCACTCTCCACAACTCCCTGAAAGGAGGTTGTAGCCAGGTGGAGGTTGGTCTCTTTTCCCAGGCAGCTATCAGTAAGACAAGAGGGCACGGGCTGAAGCTCTGCCAGGGGAGGTTTAGGTTAGATGTTAGGAAGAAATTCTTTACAGAGAGGGTAATCAGGTATTGGAATGGGCTGCCCAAGAAGGTGGTGGATTCTCCGTCCCCGGAGGTGTTTAAGAAGAGACTGGATGTGGCACTTAGTGCCACAGTCTAGTAACTATGGTGGTAGTGGATCAAGGGTTGGACTTGAAGATCCCAGAGGTCCTTTCCAACCCATCTGATTCTATGATTCTATGATTCTATTTTAGTAAGCACTCAGGTTAGAAAACAGGGCTCAATTTGTGGCAGAGCCTAAAAATGTCACCGTTTCCTAGGCCTCTTACCTGGATCATGCTCAGTCATCTTCACTTTTTAAAATTATATCAGCCTTTAAGAAAACTATTACCCAGCCCAGAGTTTCTACAGTATAAATAAAAAGCCGCATCAGCTTCATACAGATTACTCAAATAGAGGAAATACAGTTTAGTGATCAGAATCCAAGCATGGAAGTAGCAACAGGGTTTTTTTCTTACTTAGAGCTTTCCTTCAGCGAAATCTGATTCTGGATATAACCCAATATTTTCCCAGCTTCCCCCACAAACACACCTTTAAATTTAATGAAGCTTTCAGCACGAGACTGCTGAATTAAATACCCTCAAGCCTGTAGAAGGAGGTAAATGCTATTGCAAACTAATATGCTTTATCAGCTACCAACAGCAGCTTTGCATGTGCGAAACTCCATCACTCCCTATACCTTTTCCACATTCTGTTTCAGATATGTTTCAGAATACAGTGCAAGACAATTGATAATACTTCACTTCGGAAATACTGCTAAATGCAGAACTGGAATGTCTGTTGTGTCCTAGGAAGGCTTAGCAGTGTCATAAACAAAGTATTTTGAAGTGTGTTGGAGGAAGGCAAGAGCTGATCCCCACAGGGTTAAGTCAGTGCAAGTCACCTGCACATGCTTGCTTCTGAAACTGTAGAGTTAATTACCTTACTTTTTCTATTTCTACAGTGGTTAGTAAATTAGCATCTTACTTATGAAAATTCTGTAATATAAATCAAGACACCTGTTAACCCAAAATACCTTTTGCTGCACATTTAGTAAAAGACATTTTAATTGTCTGTCTGCAGATTTTAGTCTTCCTTTGTGAAACCTTCAGCCAAAAAATTCCAGTGCCCACACCCTTGCTGTCAGTCATCCACATCCAAACCAATACTGTACAATCGTGTTACTGGAATAGATGTGAAGAATTCTGAATGTATATTCTGCTGAATCATCAGCAGAAATAATCGCAGTAATCAAATGTTTTTTCCTTTTCCTTACTACTGGACTATGTCTAAATGCTTGCAGCTGCCTGGCTTATCTGAAATTTTGAAGCATCCTGAGAACAGCTTTCAACCATATTTCAATGTTCAGACAATTCAAAGTTTTGCAACAGCAGCAGGGGCATGAGAACAGCAATTTTTAAGCCTACTTACTTTTCTGGCTGGCTTTTCCTAGTTGCCTTCACTGATCCCTTGTAAGGAGTTCAAAATGTTCCCACAGTTCGTGAACCATAACTTGAAAAACACTGACATAGGGAAAGGCAAAATCTTGTTCTGTGACTGAAAACTGGAGGGGCAGGAGGCGGGGCGGAGGGGGGAGTGATGGAGGGAATAGCTCAGTCGACGTTTGGGAAAGGTTTTGAAGATCTCTGGGTTGAAGCTGGTGCAACAAAGCGCAAAGCAGTTATTACTTGTTGTTATAAGACTTCTCGGGAGAGTCGCTCCGACCCAAACTGACAGCCTGCAGCCCAAAGCCGGAGGGTTGCGGCCACCTCACGAGGAAATGACTGATCTCTCAACCTCCCCCTGGTTTCCCCTTTGGTGCTCCGCGTGTTCTACAGTTACAGCGGCGCGGGCGCTGCCCGGGAGCCCCCGCGCTGAGGGGCGCGGACCGGCCCGGGCTGCCCCGCCGCTTCTGACCCCGCTCCCGGTGCCTTTGGAACCGCCCCCGCCGCCCGCGGGGCTCCGGTGGCTCCCGGGGCCGGCCGGGGTGAGGGGGCTAAGGGAGCGGGGACAAGACCCCCAGGCCACCCCCTGGCCGGGGTGACCGAGATGGAGCCGCAGGCACCGGGACAGCCCGAGCCGAGCGACGCTTCTCACGATCCCTCAGGAGAGATCCGCTCACGGCGAGAGAGAGAGACCCGCTGAGGGGGAGAGGGATCCGCTGAGCGGGAGAGAGAGACCCGCTGAGGGGGAGACGGATCCCCTCAGCAGGGATCCCTCCGCCACCGTCCCCCCACGCCGAACTCACCCCCGCCCGCCCGCCTGGCCGCGCTCCGCTCCGCTCACCTCCCGGTGCCGCCTCCCTCCAGCCCGGCTCCTCCAGCCACCGCTCGGCTCCAAGGTGAAGAGCCCGGGGGTGCGGGCGGGCACCGGCCCCCGCCTCCTCCCGCCCCGCGGCCGCGGGCGCGCCTGGGACTCGTAGTCCCCTCGGCAGCCCCCGCCGGGCGCGTCCCCGCCGCGGCCTACCAGTCCCAGGGTGCGGCGGGGCCGTGCGCGCCCCCGGCGGCGCGGCCTGCGCGGGCGCTGCCCCGCCCGCTCCCCCGGTGTCACCGGCGCTGTCACCCCCGGCCCCTCCTTGAGGCGTGGAGTCGTAGAGGTTGGAAGAGACCTCTATGATCATCAGGTCCACTCAGCACCACTTGTGTAACCAGTAAACCACTAATGCGTATCACCCAGCACCAGATCCAGAAGCCTCTTGAACACCTCCAGGGACGGTGACTCTGCTACATCTCTGGGCAGCCTATTCCAATGCCTGCCCACCCTAACCCTGAATTTTTTTTTCCTGATACCTAGTCTGAATCTCCCGTGTCTCAGCTCAAGGCCATTTCCTCTCATCCTCTCACTGCAGGCACAGTGGAAGAGACCGGCCCCACTTCACCACAACCTTGTTTTGGGGAGTTGTAGTTCCCCCTGAGCCTCCTGGGGACTGATCAACCCCAGCTCTCTCAGCTGCTCCCCATAAGACATGTTTCCTAAACGTTTCCCGAACCTTACTGCCCTTTGCTGGACACGGTCCAACACCTCAGTGTTCTTTTTAAAACGAGAGGCCCCAAACCAAACACAGCACTCGACGGTGGCCTCACCAGTGCTAAGTACAGGGGGATGATCGATGATTACTGTCCCCGTCCTGCTGGCCACACTGTTATTGATACAGGCCGAGGTGCCATTGCCTCCTTGGTCACCTGGGCACACAGCTGGCTCATGTTCAGCCACTGTCAACCAGCACCCCCAAGTCCCTTTCCAGCAATCAGCTCTAGAGCCATTCCTCCCCCAGTCTGTAGTGCTGTATGGGTTTGCTGCAACCCAAGTGCAGGACCTGGCCCTTTTCCTTATTGAACCTCAGATAGATGCAGACACGCATGAAATACATACCATAAATGTAATTTGTTTGTGGTTTGAATATAAAAGTACACCTGGGGAGCATGGAGTGGGCTCTGGCTAGCAGTGAACAATGTGCAGGACATGACTTGTTTGGTTTTGTGTGGGTATGGTGCTGAGGTGCACTGTGGTGCTTGTTGCATTTTAAAGATGAGGTTTGTTTATCCAAAATAGGCTATAACAGATCAGCATTTTGATGCACAGTTTCAGAGTGATATGTTACAAAATCCTGCATACATCAGACATCACATAGAATGATATTGGATGCCATTGTTATACATAACTGGGTAAGTGGAGTACTTTGGGAAAAGCATCTTTTTTGATTCATAGTTATTTATCCACAATCTGTTTTTTTCTGAACTTGAACATCTGTAACCTGTGTTAGAATGCAGGTGTAATTAACTTACGAAGGTGTAGCCTCACCACTGAGCTACAGAAATTCTGAAATGCTTTATTGCCAGTAAAACTTATATTTCAGTAACATACCATAGACAGACATGCTTATACACCTTACACAAAAAGGAGGGAGAGGAGAAAGCCTGAAACAAACGTGGGAATAGCAGATTTCCCGCTGGAAAAATCCATGCAAGTTTAAATCATTTTGAATGCTCCAGTAATCCACACTGAGGATTATGTTACACTAATTGTGTCAGTGGTTGCATTTAAATACTGTCTGGTTTTATTTTCTTGTGCGCATTTTAGCACGACGCACTTGAAGGTTCATAGTTCCTTTCATTGCTTCTTTCCAGAATTGTCTAAAATAGTAAAAGATACTGCAGTTCTTCAGTTCTCAGAGAAGGGCAGGGATTAATGTGGTGCTGAACTCAGTAGCAACAGGATGAAAAAAGGATTTTTGGTCAAAACAAGAAAAGGGAGGGAAAGTTAATACAGAATAAAAAATGTGGACAATTGAAGAGACTAAAAACACTCCTGTGGAGGATAACTGTGGAATGTTAAGGGCGCACACACGCCACCGGAGCTGTGTGATGACAGAGGCCTCAGTGTGAGCTTTGAGGGCTCATCTGGCTCACAGGGTATGGAGCAGCAGGAGCCACTCTCTCCAGCAGTGTAAGGAAAGCTGTGAGGTTCTGCCAAAGGCCAGATCCAGCACTCATGGCTGCTTAAAGCTCCAGTGTGGGGCTCTTTAGTTCTCACCTTCCCCCAGCAGCCACTGACGGTGAATATGGGTAGGGGAGGTGGCTGGGGAGTGTGAAGACTTCTGATGTTCCTGACTGTGTCATTGGCATACACATCCCGTATGGAACATCCCAAATTAGTAAACTGGGTCAGATTGGCTCCATCAACTGGGTCACTCCCCATTGTGTCCTACCTATATCTTCTAAGAATGAGACAGCTTTCTAAGGCAGAAAAAATCCTGTATTTATTTGACCACGGAGTGTTACACAGGTCCTAGGACATGCCAACCCAGCTGAATTAGTAAAGTTGCAGTGAACATCTCCATATGAAGTGAAACATGTTTAGATTTACAGGGATTTTCCCACTGATTTCAGTGGCAGTAGGCTTGGTTCTCAAAGTGCTGCTGTTAATTAGTTACTACCCACATCCTATATAGGCACATTAGTCATGTCAAGCTTTGTTATTGTCCATAATAAAACAATTATTCTAGCAGAGGCTCAAACATTAGGACACTTTCCTGTTTGCCATGCAAAGTTCCTTGAAAGTGTCTGAACCCAAGTAATTTTAAGATACTTATTGAGAAGGGTGAGATTTTTAATCAGCTAAGCTGGGTGTCCATTTGGGGCATAAACCAGTTGAATGGCTTTACACCTGCTGTTTCTAGCCCACCTGGAACTCTAGGGAATCAGCCGAGGGCTGGAGTGTGCAGGGAGTCAGTGTGCAGGGAAAGAGGGACCTGAGGGTATTAGCAATATCATCTTAATGCAGAAGTAGCCCTGACACCTGTGATTACTCAGTACCTCCCAGAGTTCTACCTTTGGCCCAGAGGCAATCAGGGAAACAGCCAAGCCCTCTGAAAGAGCTTCTTTGCCACTAACTTCTACAGATGTCCCCCAAGCAGCAGAGCTCAAAAGCACAATCACATCCTCTTCTTTTTTAAAAAAGAAGCTTATGAAACTTTCTTTCTGTTAAAAGAAATACAGATTCAAACTATAAACTCAACATTTATCAGCATATTCCAGTACAGTCAAGTATTCCTCCACTCCTGGAATAGCATTTTTACTGGGCCCCACCTTGCTGCGTGCCAGCTAAAACTTTCCCCATGAGGTTCTGTGGAATTAGCCACACACAAGCCTAAGTCCTTAGGCTTACTGCCAGCTCAGTCCCTTGAGCTGAACCAAAATAACATGGGGAGGAAAAAGCAACAGGCAGAAAACAGCAGTAACAGAGGAGAACTCTAGGCTGTTCGTCCACATGTCACTCGTATGTATGTCTGCAGCCTCATACCTCGTGGTCTTTTCTTCCAGCAGCAGATCCACCACCTGTGAGTGGTGGGTGCTCTGTCTGCTCCTGCACAGATGTACTGCAAGTGGTTGCATGGCCTCAGCTGCTCCTGATTGCTAACAGTCCTTGAAGAGTTCTTTAGGGATATATTTAACATAGGCAAGCCCTTTTGCTGACCTCATTTGGTTCTGAGGCTCCCTCACCAGCTCAGGATGAAGGCAGCTCCCCTCTACAGCTGGCTTGTTCCTATTCCTGCAGTGTTGAGTCATGTTTAGTTAAACTGCGCTACAGAGCTGAACTGAACAGGGTTTATCTGGGGCCTCACACTGGTTTCCTGTTTGGATAATAACCAACCCCCACTGCCCACT